TGTCTTTCTTGTACTGGGGGCTCCAGACCTGGACGCAGTATTCCAGATGGGGCCTCACAAGAGCAGAGTAATCCTCAATTTGTTTAATGCCTAAGTAAGCTGCATGTGTTAAATTATGTGGTAAATACTGCAAAAGATTCAAGCAATGCTGTTTCTCTCAAATAAGAGAACTGTTGTTTTTTTTTTTCCTGAAATGTTAAAACATTTTTTATTTCCCCCCACATTTCTGAATATAAAATTCAATCTCACTATATGAGCCCAGAGTATTTTGGTTTTAGATCACGAGCTTTCCGATGTTCTCAAACACAAATGGATTTAAGACCATGTATGGCAGCCTACCTTTGTCTTCCCTGCAACTCTCATAGGTCTGTAGGTAGGTCAGAGCCCAGTAGAAATAATTTGAAAGCTTTATTGTGATGCCTTGATTCTATGGTGTCTTGGGATGCTCTTAATTGCTTTTGATGATAATTGTTGGCCTGTATACCCTGATAATTATGGTGAAAATAATCATTTAGCAGAGTTTAGACTTTGCAGATAATTAATACTCTTTTCTGTTAATATTGGAGTAATTGCTGCTTCAGTTTCAAATCAATCTGTAAAGCATAATGAGCTATAGGTTTTTGTAACTGCCTGCAAAAAAGCCAAGTTGGGAACAATTTGTATGGTTGAACTTTTTATCTGTTAATATCATCACCTAAATTAACAAGAAAATACATTGATTAACGTGATTACTTTATTGTAGAAGGTAACACTGTTCAAAGAAGCAGGCCTTTTAAACTTAGGAAGGAGAAATGTATTCCACATATTTCCAAAATCTTTTCTATTTCTAATGTGACTGTATATGTTTGCTTTATGCACAAAGTACCACTGTTGTCTTCTGCAAAGGTAAGCAGATTAAGTTTGGTGTTTTTACACGGGCATTCTGATTTTATAAAGATACTTATTTTTTAATGGAATATTTAATTTCATTGCTAAAATAGAATCATAGAAGGTTTGGGTTGGAAAGGACTTTAAGATCATCTAGTTCTAACCCCCCTGGTGTAGTCAGGAACGCCTCCCACTAGTCCAGGTTGCTCACAGCAAAAAAAAACAACAAAGAGCACATCTTTAACAACTGCCCCAAATCCTGTTCCATTGGACTAGATATCTTCTAGAGCATTTGCTAGCACGTAGAAAGAATGAGACAAATTCATCACTGTCTGAGTGCTATATCACAGAACTCAAATATTGGTTTCTTTGGCCACTGGCTTTCAGTTTTGCCTCTGCCTCACTTGCTATTTTTGAATTCTTATGAATCTCACAGGTGTATACTCTTTTCCCGTTGTTCAGTATATTGATGCCATCATACACTTGCTGGTCATCTTTGTCAAGGTTATAGGAGCATCTCTTCAAAGGAGATGACATTTTGTAAGCGTATCTTTGTATGCCCTTGTTGTGTTTTTGAGAAAGCAGGCAGAATTCACCCTCTCACTATGGCCCATTAGATTCTCTGAATATTTAGGTTGTGTCTTCCAATGGACTTGACCTGACAGCTGGCTTGAAGAGACCTTCCTTGCAGGGGATGCTAGGTGAAAATATCTTGTCCTAAAGTTCCTCTAGGATTTGTTTTCATGGAATGCTGTTGAAGCTCTGTGGTGGTGTATGGAACAGATACTCACATAATTCTGCAAAACACAATTGATAACAACTTCCTTGTCAACAAAAAGATAGTATCTAAACTCTTTAAAATGCATTTGAGGAATTATCCATCTCTTTACTTTCCTCTGCATCTGGCTCTGTTTTCCTTGAAAAGTAACAGAGCAGCCAGTACTTGTGTTACTTTTGCCAGTTAAATGCATAGACTATTATCAAATTACTTTCTATTCCCTATTATATACATGTACTATAGTGTGCAGTTATCAATCAACATCTTTTTAGCTTTAAAAGTTTCAAATTGTCCTTAGCATAATGCAGGGAATACATAGAAAATAAATTTTGGAACATCAGTTTATTTGAATTAGTCTTCTAAGTATGCAGACAGTTTTATATTCAATTAATTAAAAAAAAAAAAATTAAACTGCAAGCATTTATGTTGTGTTTGTCTCCAACTGTTATTTAAACTTCCAGCACATTTTCAAGTGTTTGTAGGAAGTATAGCCCTCACAAGAAAATTCTGAGTTCTTAAATGGAGTTAAATGGAGTCTAGAGCTATGGCCTGTGTGCAATTCTAAATGTGGAATCATTTCAGTGTGTAGCATGAAATAAAGGCTTCACATATTGATGAACTGTTGTATTCTTATAGTATTGATTTCCATAGCCAAAAAAAGTATTTTTTTTTTTAATCGTATATTCTGTTGAAATGTTAATGCAGAATCTTTTGGAAAACATTTGCTTAAGTATTAAGAACAGTAGATATTATACTTTTTGTCTCATTGAAAGAATGAGACTCCTCTTACTGAAGGGCTAAGTACAAGTGTTCCTGTATTCAACTTTTGAGGAAACCATTTCCAAAGTCAATTAATCCTAAAATCATGAAACATTAGGGATGCTAGTAAACCGAGGTTTTATTTTGTTTGTAACATTGTAAAAGCTGTGTGTATCATCTTTAGAACTATATCAACCTAAATGTCTTCTTGTGTAATAAGGAGCTATATAGTGTCATTTAGACAGCATCTACAACTGGTGGTAAGAAGCAGGTAGCCTGGGAGTTGATTTAAACTCTAAAACAGAAAAACTTATTAAAAACATTATTGACAGTTTTTGCCTTTCTGAAGATCATTGAAAATTACCAAATTATACCAAATTACCAAATTACCAAAATTTCTAAAAACAAGCAAACAAAAAACCCAACAGACTTTAAGGCAATTAATGAAATACACTATCAACTATCAAATTGCACTATCAGTTATCAAATTGCAAATTCTGGCTTAAATTCTTTAAGGACAAAATGGAGGACTAAATCTCACTATGAAATCTCTTTTGATCACGTAGTGAAATTAAAAAAAATCATTCCAGTTTGATGGCAAAACACCTTTGATGGTGAATGAAGATTGCAGAATGACACCTACAAATTTAAGTCACAAAAGCTGAGTGTACAAATATTAACCTCTGTTCTCCTTTCCTCAGTTTTACTGCATAGCATACACGTATTTTCATACTCAGTTGTAGACAACCCAAGGCTTTGAAGGAGAAATTAAATGCTCTTCTTCCTGAACTGATTTTGTTCTTTTACGTTTTGGAAGTGAAGGTTTAGAAAGATTAACAATGCTTGATTCAAAATATATTAAGGTATTACAGTACGAATTTAAATGACAGCAGTTACATAATTCCTACCATATGAATAATTTTTGCTTGAGAATTAACTTATTAATTACAGCAGTTAAGTGTAATTATTCTGCCTCTTAAGGTGTACCTTATTATTGCTTTTTAACAATAAGACGAAATCTGCCAAAGGTAATTATCATAACAATAATTCGTTGCATGCTTTTGATCTTGTTAGGAATACAATATAATCTTCATTAAATGATCTTTTCCATGTTAATCAGTCATTCACAGAAAAGTCTTTCATGTTTCTTACTCCTTTGAGAAGTGGATTGAAGCTTGGTAATTGGAGAGGCAGTGAACAACAGTACAGAATTCGTTGTTCTGTTTGAGAGACTGGTTTTGACTGAGTATAGGAATGCTCGCAAAAATTGAATTAAATTTCTTCACAGTAAAAAAATGTTGCAAATTTAAATAATTCACTCAAAAACTCCTACATTTCACTCACCCCCAAACCTCTCATAACTAAAAATTCCTTACTGAACTGTTATGTGGGAAGATACTACCAAACAAGCAAACTTCAGCTTTTTCTTTTGTGTGTTCTTTTTTTTTTTTTATG